ATTTAATGTGTTTTGTTTTATTGTTGGGCCTCAATCTGTCATCTTGCTGTTTATTTTCTGTATTTCCTTTTGGTTCTTTGTCTCTTGTCGCCTCTTTCTTCTGCCTTCTTTTGGATTGAGATTTGAAGATTAAATTTTAGCTATAATTTCCTCCTCTTTTTTTAGTTTCTCACAATGGAAGCCTAAGGGAGCCTTTAATTAATTTGAGAGGCTTCCTTTCAGTCATCAATGTTTAGCACTCTAAATTTCTTCCTTTAGCTGCATTCTTACAAATGTTGATATGTTCTGATGTCCATTCAGTTCAAAATAGTGTCTGATTTCCCTTTTGCCTTCTTCTTTGGCCAATGGGCTATTTAGAAGTGTGTTTTTTAGTTATCTTATTAGTTATATGTCTTAGTTGTTGTTTTAGTGGTTAGAGTTTATAGTATACATTTTTAACTTACCACAATCTACCTTCAAGTAATATTAAACCACTTCATATAGTATAAGAACGTACAATAGGATACCTCCATTCCCAGCCTCCTGGCTTTGTGCTATTATTGTCATCCATTTCAGTGCTACATATGTTATAAACCAAACCATATGTTGCTATTATTATTTTTGCTCTAAACAATTGTATCTTGAAGAGATTTAAATTAAAAAATATATATACTTATACTTGCTATTATTGCCATGTTTATATTTTCCATTTTCAGTGTTCTTCATTCCTTTGTATTAACCTGAACTTCTATCTTCCTTCTGCCCAAAGGACTCCCTTTTTATTTCTTATAAAAGTCTGCTAGTGATTAATTCCTTCAGCTTTTGTATGTGTATTTACTTTGCCTCCATTTTTGAAAGATACTTTCATTGGGTACTGAGTTCTTTGTTCAAAACTTTTTTCAATACCGTAGAGATGTTTCTCCACTATCTTCTTGCTTCCATTGTTTCTGACAAGAAATCTGTATCATGTTTCTTCTGTAGGTAATGTGTCCTTTTTCTCTAGCTACTTCTAAGATTTTCTCTTTACCGTTATTGGTACGCAATTTTCTGTGATTGCTTTTGATGAGATGTGTGGGTGTAGTTTTCTTCATGTTTCTGGTGCTTTGTTTTGTTTCGCTTCGTGGATCTGTGGATTTATAGTTTTCATTATATTTGGGGAAGTGTCAGCTGTTGTTTCCTCACATATTTTATTCTACAGCTACTCAATGTATATATTTCCTCTGCCTTCTTGGCCATATTGAATATAGTTAAAATAACCATTTTCATGTCCTTCTCTGCTAATTCTATCTGTATCATTTTGGGGTCTTTTCCAATTGATTGAGCTCTCTTTTCATTATAGGTCATATTTTCCTTCTGCTTTGCATGCTTGGTAATTTTTTACTGAATTGTCAATGTTTTGAATTTGACTTTCTTAGGTGCTGGATATTTTATATTCCTATAAATATTCTTGACCTGTGTTCTGTGACATCGTTAAATTACTGAGAAGCAGTTTTATCCTTTGGAGACTTCCTTTTAAGCTTTGTTAGATGGTATCAGAGCAGCATTTTGTCTAGAGCTAATGTTTCTTCACTACTAAGGTAATAGCCTTTTGAGTATTTTGCTTTGTATACTGTGAATCATAAGATTTTTCCACTCTATGGGTAGTTTTCTCACTTGTGTATCCTGGTCAGTAGTCAGCTGAAGATTCAAGATGAACCCTTGACAGATCATGCACACACACACACACACACACACCTGTACAACTCTCTCCTCTCCAGTTCTCTGCTTTTGTGTGTGTGTGTGTGTGTGACACACACACACACACAGACTTATTTCATGTATTCCACATGGAATTTTAGTTGTCCTAGCAAGGAGGGTAAAGCTGGTCTTTGTTACTCCATTTTGCTGAAAGAGAAAGTTTCACAGCTAATTTTAATTCTCAGGGCTGGAGCAAGCATGGAGTGAGATGAATGCAGTCCAGCCAAGTAGAAAGTCTTCAATTTATCCTGTAGCATAACCCAAAATAGGAGGAAGGGTATCACTTGTAATTTGGTAAAAAACAACCTGCTTTTTTAAATGTCCTTCAGTTTTCTGGATATTGTTTCTGGAGAGGAAAAAAAAACAACAACCAACTTTAGTATAACATTGGAGAACCCAAAATAAATTACATCTGATTCTTACTGACAGCTTTGTAGGAGCCACGAGCAAAAGGGAACTGAAGTGAATGTTATTCAGTAAGTCAAATTTGCATTCCTGAAATAGCATGACTTTTGGATTATATAATGCTATCAATAATAATCAGATTTAACTTGAAGCCGTCAGTCATGTGATTCATACATCACAAATTTGAAGGTCCCTTGCAGGTATATTTTAGAATCATATGGTCACATGTTTTGTAAATGGGAAATATCAACCTTGCTTGCCTCACAAAGGCCATTAGCTCCAGGAACAGCACTGGGAAAGGCATCCACCCAGGGTCAGAGTACTTAGTGCCCCCTGACCCCTACCCGCCTTATCCCTCAGGATTCTTAACAGGATGTTAGTTTGGGCATTTTCCAAACATTAAGAGTCATAGGGGCCTACTTCCATATTAAATAGGTTAGAAGTCAACAAAAGTCGTAGACATTAGAACTCTCTGCCGTACAGACCCTGGGGAGGAGGTGGTTAAACTAATTAATTTTTTCCCATTCACAATGTTTAGATGAGCCAGTCTCACTAAGGGCCAGAGAGCATAGCCTTACCTGTCACCTGCCTTTGTAATCCCATAGTTTTGTCAGAAGGGTTGGTGATAGGGGAAGGCAGAGAGGGGTCACTTTCTGGGGTCTTGAGTGTTAGTCCAATTACATCTTCTGGTACCCACCATACTCCATTTCTACCCACTGTTTATTTTAGAGACAGAGTATTAAGTAAATGGCTGCAAAATAAATATTGTGTTTAGGCGTAAACATTAATGGAAGTCAAATTAGCAAGTTGTATGTATCAACAGAATGTTAAAATCAAGAGCAACAGCCAGATTAGCCTTGGGGAAAAAAGCATAGAAAGAAATGTAATTTGTCATGTCACCAAGTTTCTTTTTTCTAAGCATTCTGATGAATTAAATGAGAGCAGCAGCCAATGGCTGTGTGCCTAGAGGTCATTTCTGCACTACCGCATCCCGACAGGCTCTCCTGCTGGTTTGCTCATTCTGTTGGTGGCAGAGCTGCCTCCCGTTTGCCCAGGCTGGAAATCTCAGCTGCTGCTTGACCTTTTCCTCACTCCAAAAAGCAAGCTAGTCCTCAGACACTCACAGGTTACCTACAAGCAGTGTCCTTCTCCATCCCAGGAGACCTCCTGGGTCTTACCTGGACCATCTGGGCGGCCTTCACCCCAGACCATTCTCCGTGTTGTTCCTCACCCTCGTCTGCCGACTGCTGCCGCAGTGATCTTTCTGGAGCACAGTTCTGCTCACGGTGAATGGGGTTCCCTCTTCAGAAGTCATATTGAATTTGCAATAAAATCCAAATCCCCTAATGTGGCATACCACGTCATCTGTGGGCAGATGATGAGAGGCCTCACCTCAGCTTTTCTTAGCTTGTTTTTCATGACTCTCTCCTAAGAAACTCTGCCTTTAGCATCGTGTAAATCCCTCCTGCCTCCTGCCCTCCCTGCACATTCCCACCTCTGGGCTTTGCTTCCTGGACTGCCCTTATATTTATTTACTAGGGCTGCTGAAACACTACCACAAACCAGGGGGCTTAAACAACAGAAATTTATCATCCCACAGTTCTGGAAGCCAGTAGTTAAGTCAAGATGTTGGCAGAGTTGGTTTGTTCTAAGGGCCACGAGGGAGAATCTGTTCCACCCTCTCTCCTAGCTTCTGGGGGTTGGTTAGCAGTCGTTGGCATTCCTTGGCTTGTAGATCTCTGCCTTCACCTTTGCATGACATTCTCCTGCGTTCTTGTCATTGTCCAGATTTCCCTCTTTTTGTAAGAACATCAGTCATTTTGGGTTAGGGCTTACCCTATCATAGAATGATCTCATCTTAACTGATTTCATCTTCAGTGACCCCCATTCCAAATCAGGTCACATTGTGAGGCAGTGTGGGTAGGGGCCAGCACCTGTTTTGAGAGGACACAATACAGTCCAAACAGCTCCACTCATCTATTGGAGCAGAGGGTTGGAAGGAACATGGAGTGAAATGATGTGAGGCATATTAGCATATTAAAGATCTGAGCAGTACTGAAATAAAGAAAGTAGCATTTCCAAACTTACCGGACCAAATCCTCCTCCCCTATTTAAATCCCACCAAACTGAAGTCCCGTGGAACACACTTGAGGAAATGTTATATGCTGTCCCTAGCTTCTGACTTTATGAGGCCACAAATGTTTACTTATGATCTGAGGAGCTGAAACATGGCTAAGAGACAAACGCTGCTGGGGACTCTTGGGCCTGGGGTGTCCTGTAACCTCGTAGGAAGGGCCACAGGGCACCCTGCTGCTGCCTGCCAGTTGAGAGCCTTACTCTCTGCTGAGCGGGGAGCCATGTCCCCCTTTGTGAGCACCCGCACCATTTACCCCCTGGTCCAACTCTTGTGCATCTCACCTTCCAAAACCACAGCCAGGCAACTCCAGGGCTTGTCTGCTTCTGTCACTGAAGCGTTTCAGCTGCTTCCCAGTGATGTTTTCTTAGGAACCAAGTGGAATCGCCATTCTACTCAGGGACTCAGTTTTAAAGATCCTGTGGAAGAAATTCTATTTTAAGAAAGTGAGGATTTAATTAAATAAATACACACTTAATTTCCCATGCTTGGTAGCTTTCAAGAGACAATCAGCCCTTTACAGTGTGTGCTCCAGGCACTCCTGGGGCACTTATTAACCTCCAAATGCCACCAGCTCAGCAGGGTTTGGTTTCAGAAAGATGTTTTCCTGAGAACGGGCAATTCTGCCGCAGGGCCCACAGCCTTCTGCAATGTTAGAGGGATTCGGTGGGCCCAACTTTCCCTCGAAGCATATGTGGGAGAATGGAGACCACAAATAACAAGGTTTCTGTGTCTCTCCATACAGCTGATACCTATGTGGTTGCCAATGATTCAGTCAAATATCAAGGTAAGTCATCCTCGGGTGGACTGAAAGCTCAGTTCCCTGCAGAGAATAACATTCCCAGGGCTTATTGATGCTCCACTTACTAGGGAGAAAGAGGAATTCACCCTGCTGTCTTGGGGGCTGATAATGCGGGAGACCCTGCAGGCCAGGTAAGGTAACAGTAGGAGCCACTTCCTATTGCTCACTGTCGATGAGAATTTACATGAAGTGGGGGAGCGGGGGTCCCAGAGGCCGAGTGCAGCTCTCTCGGGGGACGGTCTCAGAGGCTGAGTGCAGCTCGGGGGGAGGGTCCCAGAGGCCAAGTGCAGTTCAGGGGAGGGTCTCGGAGGCCGAGTGCAGCTCGGGGGAGGGTCCCAGAGGCTGAGGGCAGCTCCATCACTGACTGGAATGCAGGCTGAGAACTTCCTGCATTCAGAAGGTACCCATGGGATCTGGTCCCAGACATGTCCAGTGCTCTTTCCTGGCCACTAAAATTGACTTTTGGTGATGGGGAGAATTCTATTAAGAAAGGATAGCATGGAGTGAATGACAGAATTGAGCAAGAAGGGACCTGTTCCCTACCTTTCCAGATGAGGGGAGCAGAGTAGCTTCCCCACAGCCAGAAAGGGACAGAGCCCGGCCGAATGTCTTTCCTGCTGCCAGTTCTCACCTTGAGTGACACATTGTCATTGCAGGTCAGACATCCTCCATGACTACTTAGCATAGTTACTGGGGCTTGACATGCATATGACAAACTAGCCCCTGCTCCGCCCACACCTGGGCCCACCCAGGGCACAGGGAGTGTGGGGAAGCGGGCGAGAAGACAGAAGCCTTCCTGAAGGATGCTTCTCAGAGTTGTGGAGGGACACTAGATGGAGGAGGGGTGACCTCAGGGTATCCCAGACACCTAGAGAGCAGTGCAGCTACCCACAGTGCCCGCAGGCCTTGAGGGCTGATCCGTGGCCTCAGTGCTGTGTTCTGTCCACATGTGGGGCATTGGCACCACTGGAAACCTCTTCTCAGTACAGGTTCTCACTGTGAACCTGAGTGGTTCGTGCTTCCTTCTAGAAGTTGCCTCTCCCCTCGCTTATGGAAATCTGTGGCAATTTGACCTTTCAGAGTGCTAAGAGGAAGCCAACAGAATTTGATGAAAAGCTAGGAAAAACAAGAAGAGCTTTCAGCCTAGCTTCTTCATGTGCATTAACATGAGAACAGAGATTATAATCATGACGAAAATGTAGGAGCTCTTACTGTGTGCCCAGTTCTGGTCTCAACCCCCTAGTAACTCATTTATCCTTATAAGACCCTGTGAGGTGAGTGTTTCTGTCCCCACTTTGCTCATGAGAAAATCCAGACACAGACTGAGAAAGCTTGTTCCTAAAGTTGTCACAGAGGAGCCAGGATTCGAACCCAGGGAGCCTGACAGCAGAGCCCGGGCACTTCACCACTACACCAGGCCCAGTGGTGACTGGCTCCTGGGGGACAGTTATGTGTGTCAGCCCATACACTGGTGTGTCAGCCTTAATGGCAGTTGCAGTGAATGAGTCAAGGTGGGAAAGGGATTATTAGGATGTATTTTTGGGCCAGGGTAACTCTGGACACGTGGTACTGGCCCACGTCCCCTGCCCTGAGCACGGCCAAATTTGAAAGCTGGCTTTCTTCAGGCCAGACAGCCCTTGAGCCACACATAAACAGCCCAGGCTGGCACTCGCTGGTCTGATGACCACCAACATTGCGAGGAAAGAAACTAAACTAAATGTGGTTTCTCAACAGCACTTACCTGCGGGACTGCAGCTTCGCCTCCAGGCCATTCAGAACAACGTGAACCACCACAGCCTAAGGACGCTGCCTGGCGCATCCCAGAGCAGTGCCGGCCTGGCGGCCCTCCGCAAATGGCTGCAGTGTACCCAGTTCAAAATGGCCCAGGTGGAGATCCAGTCCTCAGAAGCAGCCTCTCAATTTTATCCTCTATGAGTGGACTCCTCGGCTCTCAGTGTCAACACTCTGGTTTAGCAATAATGGGTTTAAAAACAAAACAATTCGATCCAAGCAGGTTGAGGAACATATTGGTACTGTACATTCTCTTTCTAGTTTAGTAAAAGACGTGCAAAGGCCAGAGAGGGCCAAAAATGAAGCTTTCTTGCTACACATATTTCTGATGACTCCTTGGGCTATCTGATTAAGTGTTTCCTTACATTATTTTTTAAGAACCAAATCATTTTTCTTTAACTAACTTCTATTTTTTTTAAGAAAAAAAAAATAGACTGGTGGGTACTCACAGAAAAGTTGTATAAGTCCCCCTGTTGCTATTTTTGATGATAGAGAATAAATAGGGTTTTTGAAACCTTTGTAGTGTTTTTTCTTAAAATCCACTCTTGGCAATGCAATAAAAAAAAACCGTCACCATAAGCCAGTGACACTTGACTGAAGCTTTTTGTCATTATCCTGGGAAAAGTGGCAGCTTGCAAGGACCATTACAAAGTGCACTTAGAAATTAGGTGGTTAAACTGTGCCAGTTGTTTTCTTTGTTTTATAATATCATTTTTCCAAAACTGTCCAGTAAGTTTTATTATTTTTAAAACTAATTTTTCAACTCAGTTCTAGGCTGTACTTTCTTGTAAGCTTTATGAATGATAACCACTTTAGGTTTGTGAATAATAAATTTTATTCTTTTGTTAATACTTGCATACAATTCAATTTAAAACTGTAGATTGCCTACTGGACTGGACAATCCCCCACGCTGGCACAGAGCACTGCACCTGGAGTCATGTTTCATAAAACAGAATTTTAATAGTGTAAGAGCATCAAGATTTATCAGCACCTATACTTAGCATTTGACTGTGCATTCACAACTGATATTTCTCTTCTCCACCCTGTAATGCACTGACTAAAAAAATACTTAATATACATCTAAGCTGTATATTGACATGCTATTAAATGCATTTTTTATTATCTTTGTGAGCCTGGGGTTTTTTAAAATCAGTTAATAGAACTAGAGTTTAGTCCCTAACAACCATTTCTTCTAAACATTTAGAACTTCTAGCTTCCTTTAAAATTACAGTACAGTTTTTAAGAGGGAAGGGCTCTCAGGTCACTTGATGAGAGTGATACATAATTGATTTGAAGCCCATTCTCTAGAAAGGACTTTGAGGGCATGAGACTATTCTCTCTCTCTTTTTTTTAATGTTCGTCATTAAGAGGCTTCTCTTTTCATCTGGGAAGCATGATATCTTAATGCTTCTCAGGGGAAAATAAGTCCTTAAATGTTTATGTGTCTCACATGAGTTCTAGAAAGACAGGTGGCATGTCTTTATTCTTATGAAAACGTGCAGGGAACCAATAGGTCCTTATAATAGTAAAAGCATGGAGATGATCTTTCTTATTTTACTAGCAAACTCTTCTGAAAGGCCTTCTCCTAGTCAGAATTCTCCTCTGTCCTAACTGTGCTTGGTTATGCTTCTGTGAATGTTTTGTCTTGTATTATGTAAAGTTGTATATGTATTTATCTCATTTGTAAACTGTGACAACTTTGAGGATATGTCATGTGTCTGGATCCCCAGGGTTTGGCATGTAGTATGTGTTTAATTAATGTCAGTGGCATTGAATGGACTCAACTAAGCCACAGGTCTTTCTTGAGCTACCCAGTGGGCTCAGAAGGGCTGAGTTGTGACATTCTCTTTTTGAGAAGGGGTTCGTAGAGGAGTCACAGCTTCTTTTCCAACCCCATCTTCTTTGCCCAGTTCTTTGAATGGACTTTTGCCTCAACTTCCCTTTGTATTTACACCCCTCGAAGGTCTGGAGATGAGTCATTAACTCAGCCCTCTGTCTTGGGACCCATCTGAGGCTTCCTGCCCTTGGGCCTTCTCCCTTCTCCCCAGCTACAGGCTGGGCTCTTGGTCCCATCCGGGAGTTCTCTCTTTTCTATGAGCTCTGTCACCCATTTTCCTGCTGACCAACCCAAATACTATCCGCTAAGACCCTGCCACTTCGCTGGCTGAGAGAGACCAGCCAGCTCCCCTGGCCTGCACTGTCCCCCACCCCCCCTGTGTCCTCTTCATTATGTCATTACGCCAGCTCCTCCAGCAAGTCAGGCTCAGGCTCTTCGAAGAAAAAGTGAGGAGAAGAGGGGTAGATGGTAGTTTACTGGGTTTGGCCCTTCTTTTGAGAAGAAGCCATTCACCTAGATCAGGGGTCACCCACTGCCCTTTTTTGTAAAGTTTTATCAGAACACAAACACATGCATCATTTACATATTGTCTCTGGTGTTTTCGTGCTGCATCTGCAGAGGTGAGAGTTGCCATGGAGACTGTATGACCCTGAAAGCCTGCAATATTTACCATCTGGCCCTTAGCAGAACAAGTCTGCTGACCCCTGGCCTAGCTGAAGGCCACTTACTGGCCCCGTGTTGAACCCTTGCCTGCATATATTTTCCCCCCACCTCAGGTTTTTTGAAATTTCAGTATTAGTGTTCCCTCATCTGTAAAGTGGGGACAATGACACATTCTACCTCAGGATGGTTGAAATGATAAAAGAATGCAAGGGAAGAGCTTCAAGCAACATCTGGCCCATGGTAAGCATGCAATACAAGCTACCAGTTACTATTTTTATTCTCATGTTAAAGCCTGGGGAGTAAAGTGACTTGCCCAAGGTCACACGGCTAGTAAGAGGCAGAGCTGGACCTTGACCCCAGGCTGTCTGACTCCAAAGACTGTGCTCAACCACTGCCCACACTGATGCCTGCTGCGTCACACCCCAGCCCCAGGTGACAGCCTCGACAGCAGCAAGTGGCGGAGAGACTCCAGCAAACGGCACCTGATCCAGCTGTGGCCTGGACCAATTACTGGCTTGGAGAAGGCCAAGGAATAGACTCAGTTTTCCTTCTTCCACAGAATCCTACTGGATTTAGGATGAGATTCCTAAGGGTAGAATGAGCCAAAATCTGCAAATGCATAGATTCCATTTTTGTTTACAATGGGCGCGCCTCTTACTAGTTGAGTGACCTTGAAGAAATTATTAAATGTCTCTGGACCTCTGTTTTTCTTTATCTGTAAATTGGAGCTATCTACCCATCTCCCTGGGGTGATGGAAAGCTCACGCAGGTGGAGGACTGTGATGGTGCTTGGGAGACAGTACCAGAACCCATGTATGGACCACCAGGAGGACTGGCACCACCTTATGAAGAGCACAAGAGGGGCAGCTCTCACCTGCAGGCTGGTTTTTCCTTCAGCAAATCCCTCAGAAGCAAGACCTAGAAGACCCATGGGAGCCAAAACATGGTCATTAGCCAAGGGTCCCAGCCTTCATTGTATATCCTCTCTTTGTAAGTGTGCCATTCTGCCTGACAGCAAATCTCTTCCCTAGGAGTCTCATCTGAGGTCAAGTGGTTGCAGCAACTTCATCTCCATTTCCAAGCTACAACAGGCCACATAAATTTGCTTGGGATTGGAGAAGATGAGTTATCCACCAAGACTCTCTCCTGAGCTGGGATTGAAGGGCCTCTGGCATTAATTGGACAATGCAGATCATTTAATATAGCTCTTTAACAGGATTCTGAGCTGGGATTGAAGGGCCTCTGGCATTAATTGGACAATGCAGATCATTTAATATAGCTCTTTAACAGGATTAATTAACAAATATGTATATTGGGCAAATTGGGTGTTTTGACAGTACTGGCAGTGTTTGGAACTCAGTGGAATAGCACCAGACCATGTTTTTATGAAAACTGAACCCTTTGGGAGGTGGATGAGGTATGATTAGTAAAAGGTCGGCCAGTTCCTTCCACTGATAGCAGCAGCAAGCAGTGAGCCTTACATGGAGGGTTCAAGAGAGACCACAAGAACCATCCTTAACTGAGCATCTACTAGGTACGAAGCACTGTAGATACGTTATCTTCCCTCCTCTCAGCTCCTTCCTCCCCACGAGACAGGTGCTGCTATTATTCTCATTTTGCAGTTGGGGCAACTGCAAGGTTGTGTGACTTACCCAAGATCATGCAGCTGGCTGCAGTAGCATTTGGACCAGAGGCATGTGACTCAAAGTCAGAGCTTCACTCAGTAAATGCTAACTTCTCTCTTCCTTTTTTTATTTTGGTTCGGGGCATTGGGGGCCAAGAACATGAGACAGAGACAGCGAGGGCTTTGTTTTGAGGCAGCTCAATCTTGGCATCTTTGTTTATTGATGGTGTATCATAGACTTCCATCAAGCCAGAATCACTTTATCTGACAAAGGCATTTTCCCTTTGCTTTGATAATTCATTTATTTGAAAGGAATATATGGCTTGCAGACTAAATCACATTCAGTTTTCCACCTAATATAATAATTTTATGGAAAAGAATAAAAGTGTATGAATTAAAGATTGAGATAATGAACTCCATTAGATTGGGGGCCCATTGAGAGTCACTCAGCCCTTTGAAGGCTTGCCCCTAATTAATTATAACCGTGGCTACCATACACAAGGGCTTACCACATGGCAGGCACTTTAGAAACAGTAATCTCATGTAATCTTCACAGCAATGATGTGGGGTAAGTGCTTGTATTATTGACCCTCTATTTCAGATGAAGAAACTGAGGTTTAGCCTACAGAGAGACTTAAGTATTTGCAGGAGTTGCTTGGTCAGAGGTAGAACAAAAATTTGAATCTCTATATGTCTGCCTCCAAAGCCCTGGTTGTTTCTAATACATAATTCCGGTCATTAAGTGATAGACAGGGTCCTTTACTATTCACCTGACCAGCTAGGTACCCTGTAATCATGTAGACCAGAGGTCACCAACTGGCAGCCTGCTGGTTGAACTTGGCCCACAGCATATCTTGCTTGGTGGGCTTGAACTTTTGATTTCTCCCTTTGGTTTTGAGTGCTGCTGATGGAGTATGCAGGCTGGTTTTGTGCAGTTCCCACTACTGGTCTCTGCTTCCCAAGGAGGAAGATCCAGCAGCCTCCGGGTTGGTTTTCAAGGCCTGACAAGCTTTGCTCATTCACTGGCTCAGCCCTGCAGGCCTGTGAGTTTGCCACTTGGTTTAGGGTTTAGACCGACCCTCTCTCATTTCAGGGTCCTAAGATGGAATGGGGTTTACCCACGTCACTCTGCAAGCCAGTGGCGAAGTGGGCCATGGGCCGTGCCCTCAGCCCATAACGGCCTTCCTGTCTCTGGCATCACTACTCTGTCCCGACCTGCATGGCCATGGACTGGGGGCCGTGCCCCTCCACACCCCTCCACACCAGTTTGACCTCATTTCAGGTTGGGGCTGGTCTCTCCAGCTTACCCCTGCCCTAGTTTCTTCCACCTCAGGGAAGCAGAGGTCGGGGCGAGGGGTGGGAGTGCCAGATGAGCCTCTGGCCTAGCAATTTCCTGCAGGTTGCACAGGACATTGGTGGAAGCGATGAATGTGATTGAACAAAGGGCTAGCTTTTTAATTATGCAGCCCAGACTGGCCCCTACCCATGGGCCGATGGAGGGGAAGCCTCCCAGAGCTGCCTGGCAGATTCCCTGATTTCTGCTCCTTCGAGTGGCCACTTGGAAAAGAAAGGAACCAGCAAGTAATCAAGCGTGAAAGACAGAAACACTCCAGGTGAGGACAATCATGCTGCCCAGCCCGGGGTGCAACCGTGGGGTGCAGGGGGTGAGCTCTGCAGAGTGGCATCAGGCCAGTTCCAGACAGCGGGCTGTGCCAGAGCCTCCATCTGGGAGAACTCAATGCTGGGCTACGGGCTGGGGTGGGGTGGGGGGCAGGTGGAGGGAACAGAGGCTTAGGCTCCGTGGCCAGGTCATTTCAGGTCTTGCGCGGACCTGCTCTCTGACCACGGGCAGGTCACTTAGTCCTGCTAAACCTGTTTCGTTAACTGCAAAGTGGAAATGGTAATTCCTCTCTCCTGATACTTTTGCAAAGGGTAAAGGAGATGATGTGTGTCAGGTACTTACCCCAGAGAGGGAATCATAAACCAGCGTAATAGCTAACCCTTAAGGAGGACTCACTACCCAGAGGTGCGCCAGGCTCTGTGCTGAGCACCTGATGTTTACGCAGCCATTTAGTCTTCAATCTGTAATGCCATGTGACAGCTGGTGTTTTGCTGAAATGAAATCACAGCTTGCAATGGGAATCTGGCTCCAGTTCTTTTGAGTGCGGCGTTCCTACGCCACCACACCTCAGGTGGTAAGTGAAGGCTCCCCCACGTTTCTCTGAATGAGCAAGTGGGAAATCCTCCCCCGTATGGCGCTTTCTGTCATTTGGACTTCACATGGTGAGAACACATCCTTGTGTTGGTAATGGGGATGCTATTTTGAAAATAACAAATGGATATTGTCTTTATTCTCCAGGAAACTGTTCTCCAGCGTAGCTCCACAGACAGCAGGGAGCAGGAGACGGTTAAGATGTAGGGAGAGCTCAGGTCAGACAGGATGAAGGAGCAGACAGCTTACCTCTTCTGGACCCTAGTGGATTGCCGGCAAAAGGAAAAGGGATGAACATAGGGCAGGACTGAGAGGCCAGGTGAGCATGTCTACCTGCCTCCCCGGGGGCGGTGAGGACCTTGGAGAAACACCCAGGTGGAAGTGCACCAGGGGGCTCCATGACATGGTGGTACATGAACCCCAGGAGCAGTGCCTGCAGCCCTTGGCAGCCTCCGCGGGAGAAGTGACTGCAAACAGGAACCTGCCACGCAGCTCCCGCAGCCCCCTCCCTGCCTGCGTGAGTGCAGGTTTCAGAGTCCCCGTGGCCAGGGCTGGAGAACAGGCAGGTGGGCCAAAGCCGTGGTCAGGAGGAGAGACAGCCAAGGCCTGGACATTTGCACCTGGCACCGTGGGGGCTGACTGCTTCCCTCAGAGGCCAGAGGGGCCCAGGCCCAGGCCTGCAGCCACCTGCCCAGGAAGCAGCCCAGGCCGGCCTCAGGTCCCAGCAGGATCCTGACAGCACCATGTGTTCTGAGCCGGGCTCCCGCTGCCAGAGCCTACAGACACCCGCTCAGGGGCACAGGCCTGGGAAGACAACTCCTCAAAGACAGCATCTGCCCGAAAGAGATGGAGCCATCCAAAGACTCGTTAAACCAGAAGATGGCCAAATACCATCAATTTGCAAATTCAGGTTATTCTGTCTCCCCCCGCTTCAATGTAGTGGGTTCTCTGGACTGTCATGTGAAATAAAATGCTGTATTCACCTCTTTATGTTATATGTACAGTGTTAAGTTTGTAACCCACAATTAATTAATTCTACAAATATTTCTTGTGCCAGGCACCTTATGGGGGCTGGAGATTTGGCGACGTATAAGAACAAAGCCCAGAGTAGGTTCCTGTTCTCACGCACCTTATGTCCCACTGGGAGGAGAAGACATAGTGCCTACGTGTATCAACATGGACTCTGAGGGGCAAGACCTCTGTACTGAAAATAAACGAAGGTGACAGAATAGAGGATTCCTACAATTGTCAAATTAGGTTGACTGGCTTGCCCTGTTTACCTGAAACTTCCCCGGTTATAGCTCTGAAGGTCCCATGTTTTAGGAAAACCTTCCAGTCCCAGGCAAACCAAGACAGTTGGTCACCCTCTTCTCAATAGTGTCAGGATCAAGTCGGCGTGGTTAGGGGCTGAGGGGCAGGGTCAGCAGAACCCTGCAGGGACTTAGGACCTAAGCACCCAGAAATAAGGCAAGCAAGGTACCACGCCCAGCCCGGGGCTGACAGCAACGTGTCAAGGAAAGATCATACCCCACACTCAGCCTGCTTTCTCTTTCCTACCCTGTCCAGGGCCAAGTGCCCACCACAAATAACAACTGACAGCCATTTTAATAAGCATATTTTTATTGAAAATAAAAAAAGGCATGGTGCTTTCTTCCTCATAAATAGCACACAGCCCACCCCCAACTCTGCCAGTCCTGCTTCCTGGTCAAAGAAAGTCTCTGCACAAAATCGACATCAATGGTTCGTTGGTGGACAAGATGGCCACCATCTTGTGTATTTGTCCACTGAGACCCAACTGCTGGGAACGAGAGCCATCTTCCTGGGTACACTCAGCACGTTATTAGGAAAGCAGATATTTACATTTATGCATTAGATATCTCACACTGCCTGGGCTGTCTAAATCATACTTTGTACAGATTTAGAGAGTACAGTAATTTTATATATATACATAGGTAGATATAGATAGCTCTTTAAATATATATATATAACTGTATATAATATATATGTCTATATTTTTACAGCTACTAGTCTTTCTTCCCAAACCTGCTTTAGAAGCCTCTGAGGAATACCTGAACACTCTGGGAGATCCTAGATGCCATTCTAAAGTTGGGCTCAAACTAGGACACGGTTGAAAAATATCTATTTGAGAAAATGAGGAGAAGGAAGTGCTTTGCATTCTGGACCTCAAAGTTCAGACGAGTCTAAGGACTGGTCTTTGTTTAGGGGGCTGCAGATACACTCCTTAAAAAGAGTTCTGAACTCAAATACCAGGCCGGTGTGGTTTTATGAATGCTTCTGCTGCTTAAGCTAAAAATCTGGCTGGGCTCTCTTGCTGCGCCGTGACAGCTGTCTTCCAAATGGCTGGTTCTGGGTTTGAGGGCTGTTCTCAGGGAACACTTTTTAAAAAACTGGGCTCTGCTCTTGATTTTCACTAGCTGGGTGAGAAGAGATTTTCCAGACCCACTGTGGGGGAATTTATGTGCAAATATTAACTTCCGACAGAACCCTGGCTATGTCCCCAAGGAAGGTACCTCTGGCCCCAGAGCGTTGGTTGGTTTACTGGGTTCCCACTGGGAAGCTTCACTTAGGCTTGCAGGCTCAGGCTACTTGTAAATCTGGGGCCTCCTAGGTTTACGCCAACGTCCAGGCCGGTGTGGTTTTATGAATGCTTCTGCTGCTTAAGCTAAAAATCTGGCTGGGCTCTCTTGCTGCGCCGTGACAGCTGTCTTCCAAATGGCTGGTTCTGGGTTTGAGGGCTGTTCTCAGGGAACACTTTTTAAAAAACTGGGCTCTGCTCTTGATTTTCACTAGCTGGGTGAGAAGAGATTTTCCAGACCCACTGTGGGGGAATTTATGTGCAAATATTAACTTCCGACAGAACCCTGGCTATGTCCCCAAGGAAGGTACCTCTGGCCCCAGAGCGTTGGTTGGTTTACTGGGTTCCCACTGGGAAGCTTCACTTAGGCTTGCAGGCTCAGGCTACTTGTAAATCTGGGGCCTCCTAGGTTTACGCCAACGTGGGGGAAGGTGGGTTTGTGCAAAGCTGGGCTTCATGGTCCCTGAGCAGTCCACAACCCCTTAGCCAGGATCTTCCCCTCCAGTGGAAGGGGCCTTCCCCTCACTTCTGAGCCCTGGGGGCTTGTGTCTGGGGCCAGGGGATCCTGCTGAGGTGTCTGCTCAGGGAACAGGCAGGGGGCTCACGGGAGGCTTCAGGCAGTGGTGGAAAGAGCTCTGGTGTGGGGTCTGCCCTGCTGGGGACACACATCCTCTGGCCTGTTCCTCACCCAGCTCTGCATCCCATGGGGACTGGAGGGCATCAACCAGGACTACCACGGGGTGCTCACCAGGCTCGGGGGCAATGACGAAGGCTGCTGGTGCCCTGTGCCATGACAGTGTGACAAGGTGTGCAGGGGAAGCGAAATCCACTGAAACCAAGTCCTCACACAGAAGGAGAACTGAGAAGAAGAAAAACCCCTTCTGGGAGGGTATGCCCTGGGCCTGTCCTCAGCCTGCACCTGCTGAGCTGGGGGCACGACCTAGGTAAGGTCATTACAGTCACAGCAAACTCACCTTCCCCTCTGCTCTCCAAGACAGTGGTACCCAGAAAACTGTGGGCACAAGGGCTACAGGAAGATGTGTGGATCATGGTTCAGCCCAAACGGGACTGGTTTTCAGCCAGTCAGTCTCACCTGGATGTGGAAGTCAGGAACCTGTGGCCCAAAGACCCTCCAGAGAACCACTCTGGTGGTCTGGGAGGTGTGCCAGGTCCACCGAGCCAGAGAGTGGAACCATCAGTGCGTCCCGCTGCTTCTGAGCAAGTGGGCCAGTGGTGAGGGAGCCATGGGGTTGGGAGAGCTCTCCCGATCCACTAGGGGATGCAAATCGCAGGGCTGCTATTTCTGCAGGCCTGGTGATGTGCCCTCAGGGCAGGTGGCCCCCCAGGAAGCAGGCCGGCAGCCCGGGGTGGCCAGGCCTGGAGGGTCTCTGCTCCCATCCTCTCCTTCCTTTCATCCACCCACTGCTCTGGAAGGCTCAGCATTTTGAGAACATAAGACCTCAGAGACATTCAGAGGGGGCCCCTGGAAGAACGCCACCTCCTTCCAGAAGAAAGGAGGCCAGGGGTGCTCAGGAGAGGGTCCGAGTACCTGGTCAGGGCTTCAGGGGAGTGTCAGGGGGACCCAACACCAGACTGGGGTGGCCCAGCCCAGAGCGCCCGCTGTGGGTTTGGCACAAGTGGTGGCCTCTGCCAGACGAAGGCAGGGCCTGGCTCACACGGACGCATCCGTTCTTGCGAGGGTCAGGTGTGGGCATGAGTCTGAGAACAGGCGTGGTGGCCTCTGCCCTTCCCAGGCCCTTGGTCTAGGGTTCAGTGAGTCATTCTGCCCCTGGAAAGCCAGTGTACCCCCGAGTGTAAACGAGCCCCGTTGTCTGCTCTGTCAGGAGGGGACTTTGCAGGCCTGGCTCACGGCCCTCCACAGCAGGGAGTCAGGAGCCAGGGGCCCAGGGTGTCAGTGGGGGCAGGCGGGAGAGGGCAAGCCCTGAAGACTGAGGACAGTCACAGATGGGTGACGGACAGATGTGTGGGAAGCACCTTTGAAAGGGGAGGTCTCGTGGCTGTGACGATGGATTCTGTTGGGAACAGCACGGTCAACGGAGAATGTGGGCTTCCTGGGGAGGAGGAGAGGTTTTCCAGCAGGAGAGTGGCCCCTGGATCACCTTTCTTTTGGCTAAAAAGGAATGCCTCCCTGCGCCAGCCAGCCAGACTCCCTGCCTTCATCAGAGCACATGCCTTAGACAGCAGCCGAGACAGCAGATCAAACAGACAATGAAGAGAGGTGGAGCGCGCGGGCAGGAGTGTGGCCCCTGGGTACTGCGTGCAGGTGAGCCTGGCTCAGCCTGGTGTCTGGACAGTCCTGCCTGCTGGCTGACCAGGGGCATGGCTGGGAAGAGAATGGTTTCTCCTTCGGGAGGCTCAAGGCCTGCAAGGCAATGAAGTCCTGGACAAGCCACCAAGGTGCCCCTCTGTCAGGGAGTCCAGGGCCTGCAGACTTACACCACAGCATTGTTCACGTCCACCCCTTTGTTGCTCTGTGAGGAGGTCATGGGATACTCAGCAACACTGGTGCCGTTCTCCTCTTTTCTCAGCGGTTTCCTGTGTGGGAGAGGCAGGGGGGTAAGGGACAGGGAGGAACATCCATTAGTTATCAACAACTGGGGTGGGGTATCTGTCGTGCCCTCCCAGCCAGCCCATCAGGCACTGTTCTGGGTTAGCATCCTTGGGCTGCTGGTCATTGTAGGGGTGGATCAGAAGCCGGATGTAGTCTTACTAGGGGGACCATATAGTGTGCCATGCAAACCACACCACAGTTGAGAGTGAAAGACGGGAGCTATGAAGCAGGGACAACAGGCACAAATTGGGACAGTTCTGGACAATGGAGAATGTATGGTCAGCCTAGTATAACGTGTGGTCAGGATTTGACTGATCTCTTAGGGCAGACAGACATGAAGATGACTATTTGAGGGTACAGATGGTTAAAAGAGGGAAGGTGCTAGTGGTTGGATGGTATAGTCCTGCCCCTGTGTGGGCGGAGGCAAGGAGAAAATGTGATGCAGTGGACGACAGTGATGGTGGTGCTGGTGGCCATGGTGGTGGTCGTGATGGTGGCAGAGGTGGTAACGGTGATGATGACAGCAGTGGTGATGGTACGGTGACGACGGTGATGACGATGGTTGTTTTGCTGGTGCTGGTAATGGTGGAGGTGGTGATGATGGTGGTAATAGTTATGGTACTGGTACTGGTAAGTGTTGGTAGTTACTGGTGGTGGTCATGGTGGAGGTGGTGATGATGGTGGTAATAGTTATGGTACTGGTACTGGTAAGTGTTGTAGTTACTGGTGGTGGTCATGGTGGAGGTGATGATGACAGCGATGAGAGCGGTGGTTGATGGCGTTGGTAATGATAATGGTGGTGTTGGTGGGGGTGGGGGTGTTGACTGTGGCTGTGGCAGTGCTGGTGGTGATGGACATGGTGGTGGAGGTCATTGCTGGTGATAGAGCTGACAGTGGCAGAGGCAGTCATGGTGAATGTGCAAACTAAATTAGTGCACACTAATGGTTCTCAAACACTTCGTGTTGAGCCGTTTGAAGCTCTCATTCCAGAGGCCATGTAACCCCAAGTCACCTCCTGTGCACATGGGGCTTGGGAAGGCCGGGAAGGAGGCTTTGAGAAGGCTCATGCTCACTTGCCGGGGTTCTGAATCTGCCTCCTACTTTCTGGCCTGACCTCCCACCTCGGGTGGTCCAGGATGGCTCTGGCCCCCAGCACTAGGGCTCCGAGGGGCTACAGCCTCCTGATCTAGGTCGCACACACTGTGTAAGCCAACCCTGTGCCACAATACTGCTATCTCTTGGGTGGATCTGAGGCCCATGGGGCCTTAGCTCAGACACCTCTTGTGTCCCCAGCAGGGGGCTGAGCCTGAACTGGCTTTTGTTGTGTGTTGTCTAAATTGAATGTGGATCATCGTCGTTGAAAGCCTAGAGGTTGATTGCTTCTGCCTTCTCAAATGTCCCCAGAGCCTCCCCAAACCCAGCATGGGGACTGGATGTGACTAGTTTGAGGCCTATGATGAGAATTAGTTCAGTGGGGGGAGGCTCTGTGAGGTGCTTCTCAGTAGTCGCATGGTGGGGGAGGATCAGGCCCGCTCAGAGACAACACCTGGAATCACACCTGTCAGCTTTTCTCTTGTAGCAGGAGTAGCTCACAGAGCACATGAAGAAACCCAGCTGCCCTCACTCTGGGTGTCAGGCCCAACCACTGTGACTCCTTCTAGAAACGCAAGGTGCAAACCAACCAACGCTTCCTCCCAGGGTGCAGCGTGCCTTCTGCGGAGCGCTCTCAGCCACAGATTCTCTCGTCCTCTCTCACCACCGTCCCCTGAGGAAGCTAGGCCTGGAGTTACGAGGCTCACATTCCATGGGTACACTGAGGCTTAGAGAGAGCTGTGACTTGCCCAGGAACCCCCAGCTGGTTTGTGGTGGGGCTGGGCCACCACTGGCTACCATGTCCTAGTTCAGATATCTTTCTGTGACATCAGCATTCCCCGCAGGCCTGCTCCCCAAGATGGGCTCTGCTCCATTCTCCTGGGAAGGCCTCCTCTACCTTCCTCTTGGAGAATCCCCAGAAGTTCTCCAGTCTTCCAAGAAGCCTGTCTCATTTTGGTTTAACCCAGTGCATCCATGTTCTGGGATCCAAGAACCCATATTTATGTAGCTGCTCACAGACACTTTCTGGAATTCCCGGGTTAGCAGGGCTCAGACAAGGTGCCGTCTTTGTGCTGTGCTCATGGAAGGGATGGCCTCTGAGCTGACCTCTCCCTGGGCCTTTCTCCCTCTTCTTCCTCTCCTCCCCGTCCCATCCACCCCTTTCCAGACGCCTCAGGCAGCTCTGGCTTTGTTGGGTGGGCATGATGTCCAACTCGGGGTGTTAGCATGGCCTGGAAAACTTGGGGGGAGCCATGCATTGTTTCTCAGTGAGATCGCATTTTGCCCCCAACATGAGACCACTGATGGATCTGAGTGAGATTCCTAAATTTACCATCAATATATGAGGGGAAGAATGAATATCAGAATCAGGATTCCTGAAAATATTAATAGGCAAAAATCTCTGGGCCCAAGCCCATGCTGCTTTTCCTCCTGAGAAACACCTGATCTTGGGCTGGGTGTGAAACACCAACTGCAACTCGACGAGGTCAGGAGAGAGAAGGCTTCAGGGCCTCCGAGGAGAGGAAGAGAAGAGGGGCTCTGGGCCTCCCGTGGGAATGGGAAAAGCCTGGAGGCACACAGGCATGGCCATGGTGAAGGGGCAGGGCAGCTTTCCCGACAGCTCCCTGGAGAAGCGGCCAGGCCTGCTCCCCTCCTCCACTGGGGCCACGTCCCCACCCCCTCTGCTGCCTGCACTGCTGCCCCAGTCCACTTTCTGGGATCCACTGGAGCCCAGTGGAAGCCGAGTTTCAGCTCCAGCAGGAGATGACTCCACCTGGCATCTGGACTGTGCCCTTTTACTAAGCACAGCCCTTCAGGGTCATGCTGTGTAAGTGCTGGGAGGCAGATATCACAGCTCAGTAAGCCCTGTCCCTACCCCTTTCTAGCTGTGTGAGCCCAGGCAAGGCACTGAACCTCGCTAAGCCTCAGTTTTCGAGTCTACAAAATGGGCACAACAGTGTTGTCCATTTCATAGGCTTCCTGGGAGGGTTAAATACAGTAATGCACGTCAAGCACGTAGATGAGCGTCTGGCACACAGTAAGTGCTCCACAAGTGTTCGTTAGTGCTCAGTACCGTTTGGAGAGGTGTCAGTGGGGAGCAGTTTCTATTGGCCTATAGCAGCCAATGTTCTCCAGGCTGCACAGGCTTCCTACCTAATGTGTGCCCTGGGGGGCTCCGGAAATGCTACAGCGCCTGCAAGCCCCGGCCTGGCTCTGGGGCGGGCGCTGGGAGCCAGCCAGCACTGGTCCTGCTAAACCAAAGAAAGGCATTTCCACCCTGGTGCAGGAAGACATGGCCACCAACAGCTCCCTACAAGGCCTGGTTCCTAAAACCAAGAGAAAAGGAAGTGAGCTTTTCCTTGCTGGTCCAGACCCCTGCCTGCCAGAGACCCCTACCCAGAGACCTCTTTCCTGAGGAGCAGGCCTTCCACGTTCTCTGCCTGGAGCACTGTGCTGGCAGCCTGGGCCGCACAGACCAGCGGTCACCGGCCTCTGCGGGAGCTGCTTCCAGGCATGCCTGGCCTGGTCACGGAGGGTCAGGACCCAGGCACCCCTCTTGGGCCCTGCTGACAATGATGTGACAGGTCCCACACTCAGCCTGCTGCTCTGCTGGGGAAGGTGGAGACAAAGACCAGCTCTGAGGAGCTTGACAGTGTCTCATGCACCCCACGGAGGGGTCTGCTGTCAGTGGAGTGAAGGTTAAATGTCTCAGACTCCCTTCCTGGTGGGTTCTTAGGCTCCATCAAAGAGCCCAGGGCATTCAAAAGTGCCTCCTCTACTGAGAGTGCCTCAACCACGAAACGGGTGCGCACCAGGGCCTGGCAATGCTGTGCATGCTCAGGCCCCTAGGCCCCCATGTGCATCCTGCTCATCCAGGTTGCAGCCCACTTGCCCACTGTCTGCAATTAACGGTCTGCAGGATGAGCCAAACTTCTCTGCAACCTTTTATTGGTCTTTCAGCCAACACCTTGTAAATTAGAGAAATGGCTATCAAGTGCCTTAATGGCAAATCAATGGCAGAAGGTGAAGGACCCGTGCCATGGATGGCCAAGGGCTGCAAGCGTCTTCCGGTGCCTGGGAGGTGGGGTGGCTGAAGGGAGGGGGGTCTGGGGGAGTGGCTGTCATCTCTCCACAGCACAGGGCTATTCTCCGCACGAAGGCTGTGGCTGTCAGAGCCCTTACAAATGCCACCCTTGACGGGTGGCCTCACCCTTGAGAGTGTTCACAGGCCTGTGTAGCTCCCTCCCAGCGTGGAGTCTGAGGCCTGGCCCTCCTGGCGCACACCCTGCGGCTTGGAGCTTTAAGCGGATGACTGTTGCTGGTTATTGCTTGTTTGAAGTTCACATCCTGCCCTGGACCACGCTGTTCTTTTGTTGTCTCTGCTCAGAACCTTGGTCTTCCCTTCAGATCCTCCCCTCTGACTGTAACATGTGGTTCTCTGGAGGGGATGTGGGGGTGTCTGACTAACACCCACTTCTATAGCCTAGGGCAGGGACTGTGCCGGAAGCCCCAGGCCAGCCCTCAGGAAGCATGTGTACGTCTGGGCAGTGGTCCTCCTGGTGGCTTAGGATAGAGAAACAGGCTCAGAGAGCAGGCAGAGTGCTGGGAGCATGCAAGTGCTCGGGGAGCCTTAGACGACCCTCATTTTACAGAAGAGGAAAGCAGTGGGGCAGCTGGCAGGGGGGACTTGGGGGCCACCGCATGTATTACTCTCACTGAGAGCAACACCCCTTCTCAGCCCCTCGGCCTGGTTAACGCCCACTCCCCTTCTGGAAACTCTCAGGGCCCCTGGTCTGGGTAGGTGCCCCTCCTCTGGTGCCCCCACCCCTGGGCCCCCCGAGCACTGTGCTGCCAGGTATAGAGTTGGTACTTCTGGAACATTTATTGGGTCACAGGATGAAGTTTGATTCACTGAGTCTGTGTGTAGGAAGGGTTGATTAGACCCACCTCCTGCCAAGGTCACCCTTGGGAGCTCCTGCATCTGCCCTTCCATCCCCATTGAGGCCTTTGGCCCTGGGGTCTGCACCCAGAAGCCCAGCCAAACTGCCATGCCCAGAATCACCTCCTTCCTTCCTCAGTGTATTCTGGAACCATCCCCCCGGCAGCCTGGCTCCAAAAGACTGTGTTGGGGTCATTCACGAAGATCTCTTGGAAATATCCTCTCCTCAGACTCCAGGCTGTGAGAGTTTTTTAAAAGGCAGGCTTTATCACTGAATTTCCCTTTTAATGGTTTTACAACGACATAAAATGCTTTTGTTTCCCAAGAGAGAAGGCATGTTTCAAATGAATTATTAACCAGAAAGAAGTGGTTGTGAGCAAGAAACCCTCCATTAACTCTGGAGAAAAATGCAGACAGCTGGCTTGCACGAAGCTATCTATGTCTTGCAGCCCCCAGCAGAGGTCAGCAAGGGAGCAGCGAGGGCACGTGCTCTCCAGCACCGGGATGTAACTTCCGCTGGCCTCCCCACTCAAGCCTCCGTCCAACCTTGTCTAGGAGTGCTGGCCTCTATTTCTGCCTCCGCTCCACCGTGGACAGAGCCCACTCCCGTCACTGAACATCTGCCCTTGTGTGCTGGGATGCCCTTTCTGCATTATGAGGACGTGGAGGACAGAGGCCTGGGTCTTATTCCCTTGACTCCAGGTCTTGCCCAGAGAAGGATGCAGGTCGTGGTGCTGGGGCAGAGAAGAGACCGCGCTGCCGTCTCCGTCTGCCTCCCCCGGCTGCGGTTCTGTCTTCTCCCTGCCCTGGGCTCTGGGAGGCTGGCTCTTCTGACTGCATCCCAGGGGCTCCTCAGTTTCTTGGGTTTGGCCAATGACAGGCACCCTGAGGGGACTGGGGAACATGGAGAGGATGGGTCGTTTCTGCCCCTCCTTTCCTATTCTGGGGCTACATCTCCAGCTTTTCCAACCATAGCTCCTGTGAGACCCTCATCTGGGTCTCCAGGCTCACTAGGATTCCCATGGCACCATTTGCTCCTCTTGCTCTTGTTGTAGGGTGCTAACTGCTTCCCTGTGGCCAGCTCTGGAGGACCTCACCAGCCCCCTTCACCCCTGGACCCACTCACCCCCACCTCCCTGGGGAGGGAGCCCCACCCGCACCCATGGAAGGGATCCACTGAGCCATCTCGGGTGAGTTCCTGGTCTTTTTCTGCCTGCGGAGAGACCCAGGAACCAAGAGGTCAGAGCCTATGGGAGGGGCAGACAGCAGAGAGAAGGCCCCTGAGGCTGCGGCGTGGAGGGGAGCAGAGGGGAGGGGGGTGCCCCCACATGCCTTCCTGGAGACCCCCAGCCCCGCGGACACAAAGCCCAGCCCATGGTGGCCGGCACTGCCAGTCAGATAGCAGTGTGAGTTTGTTCCGGCACGTTCCCCTCGCCTCCTCCCATTGAAACAGGCAGTGCGCTTGCTCGTTCAGGAGAAGTTTGGGGCAAAGAGGCAAAAGCACGCTGCGTGTCTTTTGGAAGAGACTGAGCTTATTAAAAAGATGTTGATGCCTGTCTCTGCAGGGAAGGGTCCTTGAGGGCACTTAGGATCCTACTCTCTGGCAGTACCCCAGGTAGATCTTGCACACTCTTCCTCAAAAACCTTCACTGGCTCCCTGTGCCTACTAGTCACAGGCAAGCTGCTCGGCGTGGTGGGACAAACACGTCCCTGCTCAGGCTCGGCTCCCTTTAGCCTCGTCTCCCCTGCACAGTGGCCTGGGTGCCCTGGTGCTTTTTCTCACACAGCCACCTTTGCCCGGAGCCTCCCCTGCTCTGCTATGGAAAATCCTCCTCTTCCTGCAGCACGTGCTCAGCTCCTATGCCGCGTCATGGCCATCGGAGTGAACCAGGACTCCTCCTGCACCCGCAGCAGGCCGCCAGCCAACACCCATGGCCCCCCGCCTTGCCACCTGCCTTGCAACACAGTCATTCACATGGCCCTGCGGCCAGGTGAGCACAGCCTGGGTCTTATGTGTCTCTCTACGTGCAGAGCCTGGCACACAGTAGGTGCCCACGGAACACATGGGAATCGGACTGGCCATGTTTCCAATGCCGCTGCCTGAGTTTCCAAGGCCAGGCCTCCCCCTGAATTACAGGGTCCTGGAGAAGGGGGCCTTCCTGTCCATGTGTCCTCCTGGCCTCAAAGGAACACAGACACACTCCGGGTCTGGGGCACCCTTGCGGAAGGGCAGGCAGGAATAGTGAAATCTGTTCTTAGCCCAGTACTAGTGATATGGAGAGGCATGGGGCAGGCGGAAGAGCTCAGGGCTCAGCACCTTGTGAGCACTCACCTCTTTATGGCTTTGTAGCAAATGATGACAAGCACAGTGAGAAACACCAGGGACGCGCAGCACACCGCGACAGCGATCAGCAGCCCTGACCAGCTTTCCTCAGCAGGGCATGAGGTAGAGTTGGGGGCTGCAAGAGACAGAAGCTGTCTGAATCTCCGCCGGATGAGCGGGCCCCAGACGGCGACAGACGTGGACTGTGGTGGGTGCCACCAGGGTGGCCTTGCCACATCCATCACCGGGATGAAGGCCCTCTGACCCGTCCTGCCGTCCGTGTCCCCACCTGCACCCCGGCAGCAGGTGACATCATGCTGGCCCCCAGCCAGGCAGCATGCTCTGAGCCAGGGTTAAGCGCCGCCCCAGACCATCCATCCTCCCTTGGCATGAGCTAACTGACAGCAGGGTCAGGTTTAATTTCCCATGAAAAATAACAGCACATCTCATTCTCTCAGTCGAGGCATTAAATCCACTTCCTCCGATCGTGGGGGTAGGGGGAGGGCTCCCAGGGCACCCAGAGGGAAGAAGGAGAGGGAGGGTCATCAACATCAGCTTTAAGTTAATTTCTTGTCAGAGGCAAGCCCTCTCCCTTCTCGGATTTGGCCCATATGGCGGTGCCTACAACCGTCTCAGTTTGCATGAGTGTCCCAAATGCCCCAAATTTGGAAAAGTCTGTCATGGAGATTGCACGTGACACTGGGTCCTGTAGGCTCCCTCATCGCCACTCCATGGGGACCTTGGGGTGACCTGTCCTCCGCCTCGGCACTGGCTGTGTGGGGTGCTGTGATGAGGCTCACAGCAAAGCCGGTTCACTCTTCTCTGAGAGAAGCAGACACAGCACACGGCCTCATCCCAGCTCAAGAGACCCAGACACAACTGGGAGGAAGTGCCCAGGGTTACAAAATGAATGGGAGAGGAGGAAGGGAGAGAAAGAGAGAGGGGCTGGAGAGGGAGGGAATGATGGATGAATGGACGGACAGACATACAGGTACTACTAGCTCTGGTCAGGTCTTTAAGATATGAATACATGCAAAAGAATCAAAACTATGCCCTAGACTCTGCATCCGTTTAATAATATGGCCCTGGGAGGGAGTACAACAGTACATGGGGAATAAGTGAATGATTTCCCAAAGGATCCATGGATGACTTTATCATCATCATTATTGATGTTATAATCAGCAAGGTGTAATTTACATGTAATGAAATGCACTCATGTTAGCTGTGTGGTCTGAGTAGCTTTGACAGATGTGTATACCAGTGTAAACCACACCTCTATCATGACACAGAATATTTCTGTCACTACAGAAACTTTCCCTGGACCTCCTTGTCAGTCCCTACCCAGGAGGCAACCACTATTCTGCTTTCTGAAATTGCAGATGAGATTTCCTTGCTCTTAAAATTCATATAAATGGAATCATACAGTTGGTGTGTTCTTGCCTCCTTTAGCAAAGTGTTTTTGAGATTTGTCCGCATTGTTGCATATTTCAATAGTTCTTTCCTCTTCGTGGCTGAACAGTATCGCATTTAATGTACATGCCACAATTTGTTCACCTGTTGATGGACACCGAGGCTGGTTCCAAGCTTTGGCTTTTGTGAGTAAGGCTGCTATAAGTATTTATGAACACGGTGTAGACCTGTTTTGTTGGCATAGACATGTTTTTACATTTCTTGTGGATAAACATCTAGGTGCAAGATGGATGGCTCCTATGGTGTGTGCATGATTAGCTTTATAGGGAACCGCCACGCTCATTTCTCCAAGCACTTGTACTAGTGTATACATGCTCCTGTTCAGAACAAGGAAAGGTGGAAGGAAGGGAGAAATTATGGTTACCAAATTGTTATCAAATTGTAGCATTGTTGCAACTGGATTAGGAGTCCAGGAACCATTCTGTGCTTTCCAGGGAATGGGTGCTAAAGCCTCATCAGCAAACGCAAGGTCTCTAGAGGTGGAGCTCAGATCATCACGAGACCCAGCCAGTTCCGAAACGCCCCTGAGAAATGGCTGGGACCAGGATGTCGCTAAACATCCTTGGTGACTGCTTTCCTCCCGGGTGATATCAAGCCTTTAGAATCCCCAATACCAAAATAATACAGAATATGGAATTCAAAATGAGAATAAACCCTAAAATAAGGGAAAGGGAGGGGCCAAAGGGATTCTCATTTTCTCTATGATGAACTTCAGAGTTTCTTCTGTGACATATCAAACACAAAATCATTCCCCCCAATCCCTCATTTTGGGGTGCCCCTGGCTTGGCCGAGTCTTCCCAGGAGAATGGGCACAGCTCCAGGCCAGCCTTCCCTACTGCAGCAGTAGTCACAGGCAACCAGGTACACAACCCTGCAAAGGGAAGCAATTTTCTTTTCTGTCAATTCTGTGTCAGGCTCTAACACCTCCAGCCAAGTCCCCAGGGCCATGCCTGCAGCCCACTGGGTCCCTCACACCTGCCCACGGCCTGCAGGTTCCCAGCACTCCCTGGCTGGGCAGACAGCTATCAGTGTACACCTCCAGGGGCACTTGGTAATATGGGGGGGGGCGCCCTTGGGAGCCACAATGAGTGGGCTGAGAAGCTATGGACGCTAGCAACAGCAATGAGCTGAATATTCCCACACTAGGCAAAATGCCACCTGGGGCCCCTGTTGAGAAACTCCATCAACCTGGAACAGACTGGTGGACTCTAAACCTCGTTTGGAGTTTGACAATTTGGAATGTGGAAATGAGCGCCTCGTCTGATGCTCTTCTCTTTACATTCTCTGTTACGGAGGTGGGAACTGTCCTCTTGGAGGTGGGAACTGCCCCCTTGCTTACTTTCCCCAAACACAGTCGATACCGAAGGCAGGGAGACTTGTTTGCGAGGGTCCTGCTGCATCGGTCCCTTCTATTATTTGCGCTGCTCTGCTTGCCACTTGCATGTGAGGAAACTCCCCAGGACAAAAAGATAGCAGGAACGAGAAGACAGAAGTATTTGTGGACCTAGTCCTAGGCGTAAATCTTGTATTTTGCTAAGGAAACAGCTATTGTGTTCAAAGAATGCATCCTCATTTATCCTTGCTTGAGTCATTTTACAGGAGAAAGGGTCAGGGAATGTTGGAGCTGGAGGAAGCCCAGGAGGTGTCATTTCAGAAAAGAAAAAGTGCTGAGGCTTGGGATCTAGAAGCAGCCCTCCCAGGGACCAGGGTGGGACCCAGATCTTTGGGGGCAGGGCAGGCCTGCTCCGAACGTCCTTCCCAATGGGTGTGGCCAGTACTCCTCTCCAGAGGGGTAAGCTTGCCATGTGCGCAGACGGATAGGTCATATCAGAGAGGATAGCGTCATGAAGGGACTTGCTCACTCATTCACTCATTCTTTTGTTCATCCAGCAAAACATTTACTGAGCACCGTCTGTGTGGAGCCCAGCTAGGTCTGGGAGAACAAAGGTGGCTTACATGTAAATTGTGCCTTTAGCAGGTCTGGTGTTGGCTGCCCTGGATCACTATTGATCTGGCCAGGACCGGATCACCTGGCTGGAGGAGCCAGCAGGATGCAGGAGAGTCACGCCCAGGTTTCTAATGTGCAAGGTAAACTCATCTGTGGCTGAGGTGAGGAGCCCACCGGGTGTTAAGGGTCAGCAGGGAAGGGGGATGCCGGTGAGAGACAGGTGGTCAGACGGGGAAGGCTGAGGCCACCAGAGTGTGAAGTTGCAGGCCTGAGGCTGCCGAGCTCTGGCTCCCGTCCACCCCCACACCCCCACCACCACCACCACTCCCAGCCAAGATCCAGCAAACGGGACAGAAAGGTGGGAGCCTCCAAGATTTTTCAGGGGTCACAGCACCCTCCCTCCCAGGACTCCATGAGGCTCTATCAGCTGTGCTCCTTACACACTCCTGATGCCTGCTGGCAACCACAGAGAGCAATGCAGAACTACCCACGCTCAGTTGTGCTTTATCAAAGGAACCGCTTTCTCTTTGGTCAAAAAATGCATCATTAAAAGCTTACGTTTGGGACTTCTGCTTCCAGCCAAGAGGGAGTAACGGGCCAGACTTGCACCCTGGCCAATGAAAACATCCCAAAACATACCCAATCTATAAAACATCAAGGCAATAAAAGGCAGTGATCTCTGAGAAACAAGAAACAGAGGAGGCGAGTTCTACAGCTGCCCAGCTTGCTGCCTGGAGAGAGGGTCCAAAGAGAGTCCTGGAAGGGAGGAGCCAGCAGTGCCCAGACAGTAGATCTGGGAGATGGAGCTGCACATCGAGGGAATGGACAAGACAGGTGAGGTCCCGCCCGAAGGGGGCTTACAGAAGCGGAGGAAGGAGGCAGCATACAAGAAAATGTGCAAGTGAGCATATGAATGCACTCTACTACTCTACTCCACATGCTAGAAAAGAAATCGCGATGCCCGCATATCTTGTGGAAAAGAAGCAGATGGTGGTGGTGGGGGCGGGTAGGGAGCTTCAAATGTACCCATCTGAACAGGTATGGAGGATTCTTGGCCGACCGAGGAGACTGCTGTGGGCCTGTGGACCTATGGCGGTCCAGGGCCACAGAGGGACTGCATGAAGTCAGGCAAGCCCCCCGGCTGCTCTTGGTGACCAGCACCTTCTCTATATTCCTCATGGGTTTTTGTGACTCTCAACTGAGACAGCGGAGACAATGTTCTTGAAGATCTGGGAGGAGCACCCACCATTTGCTGGGCACCCCCCCCAGGCATACGGTGCAGAGCCCACCTATCTCCCCCTTTTGTAAGTGGGGAGACGAGGCCACACAGACAGGGACGTGTCAGGATTTGCACCCAGGTGTGCCTTGTGACAGCACTCATGGCCAACTCAACACATATTTATGCATGACCTGGGCACCTGCCACTTCCTTCTCCTCGCCGGAGACAGCTGGGCACAAATATTTGCCAGGAGGGCACAGAGTGAGGTAGGAATGAATCAAAGCAACAGTGAGTAATGTGGAAACAACCTTGGTTTCGCAACAGTTTTTTAACAGTTCTTAGAAGGGAGTTCCAGCCATGTTCTTTGTTTTAACACAGCTTACTCACTGTGAGACGGAGGCTACGGATTTATCCTTGGCTTGGCCTCTTACCCCCGTTGCTCCCCACTTCTCAAGTGCACCCTGAGTGCCATGTACTTCTGGTGACACTACAGGTGTGC